ATCTCATTTGTATGCCAAGCGGCTTAATTTCTCCAGTTTACGGCTTACGTTTAATCCCATTGAGACCGTCTTAAAACGTATTGCTCCACCTTCCTCATCAAAAAATCTTTCGCACAATTATGACACTGCACGTGTTTTAAGCTTCGCAAAAACTTGTTAACTTGATAAAATTTACTTTCTAAAACTTTGAAGTGGCAAAAAATTTAGTATTGTTCACCGCCATTTTGAACCTTCTTTAGCAAAATGACCACCTACCAATAATACTTTCTTGTAACAGGGTCTCACGTTTTATTTCCTTTTATGAAAGACCTTTAAACAAGCAAACAAACAAACAAATGAATGAATCAGTTGATGTCCTGATATTTACAACCAAATAATCATTTAATTGTTTTCAAATTGGTGGCTTCGGGGTGTCGAACTTTGGTGCTTTAGAAGACAAATTTCGAAAGGGTATGTTATATGCAATACATTTACGACCGCTTATAGGTAGATTTTATCACATAATTCTAAACACAAAAACAATTCGATATAAATCAAGCTTTCTTGAAAAGAGTTACCCTTATGACGTTTAGATCGATACTTTTGATGTAAAACGTTTTGACTCTTCTTGGGTTAATAAAGCACTTTGTAGCGTTAGATTCATTCTTTAAATTGCACCTGGTTAGCTCATGTTGTAGAGCGCTGGACTCCCGTGCGGGAGACCGGACTAACACTCATGGTATTGAGATAACTGAGGAGAACTTGTAGTCTTTGTTAGAACCATTGATAAATGGTAAGACACTCTAGCCTTCTCGGAGAGGACGGTAAACCTTTGACCGTCCCTAAGGACGATAAACCTTTGGCCCCGTTCCCTTGACCGTAATCCTTTGAACTTGTTAAATGGTGCACTTCTCTCAGAGAGAAGGAGACGTAGCTCTTAGTGTCAGCTCCCATTCCTGTTTAAACTAGCTCTAAAGCAGAACAGAGCCAGCCTGTTTAAATGTCGCAATAAATAACGAATTACTTTTTTAAATTGATCATTCCACGGCGGACGTTAGAGCCTCTGTTCAATGTTGGAGAGAGAAATTTCTCAAACAAAGAAACTTAATTCATTACAATTCTATGAAAATGTGTTAATAAGCATAAACAATTCTTCGGTTTAAACTTCACTGCTCTATTTCCTATTTCCTATAGCTCGCGGAATTGCTTGCTACAAGTTACAAAATGTATTCAGCTAGTTCACTGAAAAAATATGGAGACTTCACCTGAACATTTTTCATACAAGCGCGATGATAACGGACCTTCTCGTCGACCTTTACCTGCATATCCAAACTCACCAATTTGTACCAGATAATTCTCAAAATGCACGCGTTAAACGGGCTAAAAAAGCATATCAATGCACAGTTTATACGCCAATGAGGTCACCGTTCGCCTCAAACTCGCAGTTATATCTCTAAATTTCATCCACCAACATCTTAAATACAACGCAAATCCATGCGTTTGCTCAATTGCACTCGTTTCAAAGATTATTTACAAATTCTGAAAATTGGCCAATATCTCCTTTTGACCGTTCAAACTTCGTTTTTTATCTTCTGCATTGAGGATTTTAGGTTTTCGTAACAATCGAATGGAGAATAAATGCCGAGTTGTCCTAAAACGTTGCGTAAACGTGATCGGT